GGACTGGAGGAGGCGGTGTGGGATGCGAGGGGGGATCCCGAGCGGGACCTGGATGCGGGACACTGCTACGGAAGACTTTTTCCTCGGAGCTGTTGCTGCTCACGTCTCAGATCCCTACTGTGAACAGGGTGGGTTGTCTTCTTCTTCCGAGATCTCAGGTCTGAGTGAGTCTCCGGTGTACGTGTATACGTTACCTGTAACATATATGATATATTGCATAGCTGTTAATCTGTGTGTGCCTCCCCCACCCCGAAAGTGGCCAAAGTCTTTAATAGGAGTTACTCTATATGTGGAAGCAAAGAAATCTTCTTTCAAGTGGAGCTGCAGTTTTACTGAATAATCACGTGTGAGTTAGGGGCGGGCTCTTGGCAAGGAGGTTTCTTACGAGTATTTACTACAAGGTCTACTCCAGAAGATTAACCATCCCAATCCTTCTGTCAGTCTCCGATGCCATGCCTGGTTAAAAAAAAAAAAAAAAAAATCTCATCTTTTTTCCGATCGTCAGTCACCCTAAAGAATGGCCGAGCCTTCTGGGAACGAGCTGGCGTCCGCGGCTGCCAAGGGGGACCTAGTGCAACTTACTAATTTGTTGCAAAAGAATGTAAACGTCAATGCACAAAATGGATTTGGGAGGACTGCGCTGCAGGTTGGTATCCAGAGAGGGAGAAAATATTTCATCACTGGTACCTACGTGACCCGGGTTTCCAAAAAAGACAACGTTTTAAACAGGCTGGTGGATGAAATTCGAGTGGTTTTTCAAACTCGTTGGATGCCATATTTTAAAACTTTAGTGGCTCCAACTCCCTAAAATGACGTACTTGAAATAAAACCGGTCAAAACCATTATTTCAATCGGGGATCTCCCTCAATGTCAAACGGGCTGCGAGTTTGCTAATATTTTGTAGCTTCGTGGGGAGGAGGCAAGGAATGAAAGAGCAGAGATGAAAAGAAATCAGCTTAGGTGAGGACGATTTCATAGCAGGTCTGTAAACACAAATGTGCTGTTCTCTAAAGCTTAGGAATTATCTTTTTTTTTTTCTCCCTCTCCTTTTTTTTTTTTTTCCTTTTTTTTTTTTTTTCCTGCAATATGCTTTTAAAGCGTGGCTCGTCTCGGCTCAGGGCTCTGCTGTAGATGGTACTTTTCCTTTATACGCTGTTTGTGAGGAATGACCTTTCTCATTGGGAAGCACGCTGCTCAGAACCCAGGACCTTCGATGTACATTAAGAGTTAGCCCTGCGAGTTAGGGTGCCAGCTGAATCACTTGTTTTTTTCATTCATAATTAAGGCTTAAAAATCTGCTTGTTTAGGTCGACTGGCAGGGCACTGATCCCAGCTATTTGCTTTCTGATCGTATAGGGTGCTACGTCCTAATTTTTTTAAGTGTGTGGCTGTGCAGGCAGGAGTTGGAACTCGTCCAACTGCTAACTATTGGAGCTGATGAAAGATTTTGCTTTTAATAATATCAGATAATTATGACGAAAAGACTAAAATACCTACCAAATAGTGAAATAAATTATTTCTAAATCGGGAGAAATAAAATGTGTGGTTATCTGTACTTAAGGTGTAAATAATGAAACGTGGAAGTGGAGCTGTAGGTCTGTTTTAATTTCATACGCTAGAAAAATCGTCTGTTAACCCCTCTCGCCCCCTCCCCCAAAACCATGATAATAATTTCTGAAATTGGGTGTTTTAAATAGCATAAAGCTTGCAAATGTGCTCGAGGTATTTACAGCTTGTTGGCTTAACATCAAAATGCTAGAGCTGGAAAATAAGCACCTCTTGCTAAAAAGGCAGGAATGACCTTTTTTTGACAATTTCGCTGGGGCTGGAGATCTGTGAGCTCCTCTCTGCCCTGTTAGCACCTAAATAGGGCATCGCAGGGCAGGGCAGGCACTTGCAGCAACTTTTAAGAGAGCAAAAGGACTGAAATTCAAAACTTGCACAAACTAACTCCTTTAAGAAAGCAGGAAACATTTAGCTAGATTGTTTATCCTCAGGACCAGGGCTGAAAACCAATTTGTCCCACAGCACTGTTTCTTTTTTTCTTTCTTTCTTTCTTTTTTCTTTTTCCTAAAGGCAGCTAACTGTCCGTATCCTGACTTAAGGCATATTTTATACAATGACATAGCATCCAGCTATATTACACACGCATCCGTGTCCTAACAACACTTGTTACCGCTGCCTAATCGTGACCGAGTTAATGAACCACAACAAAAATCAAAACAGGAGAAGCTGTCGACTTATTTTCAATATGTATCATCCCGAAATGAGCTGTGGGTGCGTGACCACGCTCGAAAGAGCTCTGTCAGTGCACTCTCCACAGTCCAGATAATCTCTCCATAATCTCACCCTCGATTAAAACGGGGAGGATGCTCCTACTTCAAAACCAATGAATTTCTATTTTCCTTCTGCGTTTATGTTTAATTAATCAGCTGCTCGACTTGCCTTGCTCTGTGCTTTTTATTTCTGATGCAGTGTACCTATGCAGGCCGCAAATGCATGTCCTACCCTTCTGTGCTTCGCCAGACTTACTCAATTAATGCTTTCTCCTCCTTTGCCTCCCTCTCCCCAAGCGAAACTTTGCAAAATAAAGGGCATTTGCTGTGCAGTTGTACCCACGTCTCAGCAGCATCACCTTTTATATGATTTTTCCACCCCACCCCACCCCCCCCCGGCATCTTTAACTGAAGCCTTCAGAAGCCTGAACACAGAAAACTCCCAATTAAACCAAATACATGGTTTGAATTCACAAATAATCCAGCCTGGGCTCTCAAAAAGAGATAAAAATGTCCAGATTTTACTAAAGAAAGAGAGATTGCAGTGCTCTTGTTTTCTTTTACATTGCTTCCCTCTCTGCTCAGAAGTGAAAGAAATGGCACATGCGGAGCTGGAAGCCTTGGAGCACAGAGAAATCTTTTTCCCTGAATCCCTCTTATCTGCACTTTTGCTCCTGTCTTCTAGATAAAATATACTGGGCTGCTTTACAGCCCAAACGCTGCAGTAATTATATAATTACCGCTTGCTTTTCTTCAAAAAGCCTAATGCATATTTTTTACCGGGGGAGCTTTTCAGCAACTCCCTTGCAGGATTTGTGCGTTATGCTAAATCTAATGCACTAAAATGCTCATATATGCAGATAAATTATTTAACCAGGATTTTCAAATCAATGTGTGGACATTTCTAAGGAAATAAAAAAGTTTGGGGTTTTGTTGTTTTTTGGTTTTTTGGTTTTTTTTCAAATTTGATACTTACAGTGAGACTAATTGCAAGGACAGGAAATCATTGCCTATGGGCTGTAGTTTATACATTACCAGGTTCACTTTTTAAAATTTCTTTGAGCAAACAAAACCCAAGGAATTTAGGGGAAATTGGTGTAAGCTGTTAAGTCCCAAAAAAGGCAGATTTGCATTCTAATTATGATGGTTTTATGATGCAATTGAGAAAATTCAAAGAAGCTTTTTTTTTTTTCCCTGAGAGAAATAGTTGAAAATCCAATTACTGTTGTTGTTTAGTTTGGTTTGTTGTTTTTTGTTTTTTTTTCTTTAAGGGATGTTTTTAGCTACAGAATATAGCTACAGTTTACTGATAGTGAAATTGTGAAAGTATGATATATTATATTTGTTTTAGAAGAAAACTTCTGGAACTTTGAAACATTCCTTGTAACTTCTCCTTTTTGGGTGACATAATGAAACACAAATATTGGGGAGAAAAATTTCTTCTAGCAGTTTTTTTTTTCTTACCAGACACAGCTATGGTACAGTACAAATATTTGTTTTATGATAATGCACAGATAATGTAAACACCTGGAAGCTTATAAAAACACATTCTGCATTTGCTGTTGCTGAGGCAAAATATCTGTTCCTCAGAACCCCTGTATTTGGTGTTCAACGAGATTGAGCAGTGATGCAAAGGTGTCTCAATACTCAGGCAAATAAAAACGAATCATGCTTAATTTTTGTATCTTGAGAGACTCAGATAACCCATTTTAAAAAAAAGAAAAAAGAAAAAAAGAAAAAGGGAAAAAAAATCTTATTACACCCCCATTCTACACCACTTATTTCAGGCATTAATCTTTCTGAGACAGGAAGCAATTAGCACCGAAGTGATAACATCTTTCACGATTTCACCGAGTAAAAAATACATTAAAAAAAATAATAAGGAAAAGATGTTCTGGTGTATCCTCGGGTTTACAGTGGGGGCTCTTCTGCCTGTTTTAAATGTGGATTGAGCCAGGACAAAACCCAGAGAGAAGAATTGAGGCTCTAAAGGCGGCGCTGAAGAAAATCTCCCCCCTCTCTCCCCCGCAGCACTCAACTCTCCTCTTTCTTTCCTAGGTGATGAAACTCGGGAACCCCGAAATCGCCAGGAGGTTGTTAATGAACGGGGCGAACCCCAACCTGAAGGACAGTACTGGCTTCGCCGTCATTCATGATGTAGCCCGAGAGGGGTTTCTGGACACTTTGCAGACTCTTCTGGAGTTTGAGGCCGATGTTAACATTGAGGATGATGAGGGCAACCTGCCCTTGCACTTGGCGGCCCAGGAGGGGCACGTGCGGGTGGTGGAACTCCTCCTGGCACGAGCCGAGTGCAAAGTGGGCCACCAGAACAAGCGGGGGGCCACTGCCTACGACCTGGCCAAGCTCTACAAGAGATCCGCAGTGGTGAAGCTCTTGGAGGACAGCAGCTTCTTCCCTGGAGCCAGGGATTAACTCCAGCTCGGACAGGCTCTCTCTGGACACTGAGGCTTTCAGCCTCCTTTTGGGTTTTTTCCCTCCTTTTTAATAGCAATTGTTGCAACTTTTTTTTTTTTTTTTTTTTTTGGAACAGCTGTTAGTATGAGTCTCAAGAAACTATCGAGGTGGGTTTTTAGATAATGGAAATGTTTTAAATCCACACTCCCAGCAATTTTTTACACTTGCAATTTACCCAGTACTCACAGGCTCAGCCGTGTGTATGTTGGTCTCTCATACCTGCTTTTCCAGTATCGAGTTTTCCAATTTATTTTAGGTCACTCATATTAATGAGTTAATACAGGAGCTACATACTCACATGCTTAATGTTGATGGACTTTTGAGAAAAGGAAATAGCTTACTGTGATTTTTCCCCTCTCTCAACGCACCCCCATCCCTCCCACCCCCCCTTCTCGCCAGCCTTCAGTCAGGCTTAAGGATTTGAGGTCCTGTTTTGGATTAAACGAGCCTTTTAAGGGGTACCCTGTAACTCCCTGCCCAGGCAGAGCTTGAAGTCAAAGGCTGCTTGGCCTGAGGACGGAGGATGGCGCTTAGAGGCTTTGGGACATAGCTGCATTCTGACACTTAACAAGAGCTTGTAGACTAGAAGTAGGTCACTCACTTTCTAGATGTAGATGACACTCTTCCCCTTTGTGTATTTAAACTTTCACCGAGCTGGTTTTGAATTTAGTTAGCAGAAACAGGATAAGTGGTGTTCTTTTGATTGTCAGAGGTTTTAAACAGCTCAGTTTAGTAGTTCATGTTTACTGTGCACTGAACAAGATTTTTTTTCTAGTTTCAAAACAAGCAGCAGAGAACTATTGTCAGAGGCGAGAGCACATGAAGGCTGCAATACAAGTTTTCTCGTCGCTTCATAAGCTGAATACAGTTTAGCTGCTCTTTGTGAAATATTTGCTTTCCACCAACTATTCTGTTTTGCCCAGAAATAAACTATTTTAATGATCGATGCATCTCACAGAACAGGAATATTTGAACACAGAGATATTTAGGAAGCAGTACATTTGATATTTGGGAAGTTGTTATTTCTTGCACATAAACCACAATTTAACCATTGAAAAAATTTCCATTGCAATACAGTTGAGAGTATTCATCAGGCTCAAACTCTTTTACCTCTCATTTACCAGGAGCTAATGTCGCTCAGGACCGTATAGGAAATAGTTTAGCATGAAATTTTTAACGTTTGACAGGATCTAGTTGTTGGACAGATGGGCAGTTTAAAGTGCTTTCTTTTGGACAGCCTAAATTTTAATTGTGCAAAACAGGTTTTAAAGCAACGCAAAATAAATAGTACTTAAAGAGCACTTAAAAGAGGAAAGGTTGTACATTAATTTAGTTTTTAACCTTCCCCAAAAAAATATTTTAGCCCCACAAAATCCGTTGCTACCGTTTTCAAGTAAAAAGTAATTTGCTGAAACTGTCACGTTTACGATCTGCTCTGTCACACTGCTGTGTTTTCTGATTAAAAGCCTCTGTGAAGTACGAAGGTTTGCGCGCTTTTGTTGTCATTTTTGTGTTATCAAGGGATCTAGAGATCATTAATCCAAGCAGCGCGGCACACAGGATGCATGATCGGGGAGATGCCCCGCAAAATACCCGGTATAAACAGCACTAAACCCATTTAAGTATTAAAACCTAGCAAGGTAATCCGCAGGTCCCCGAGGTGAAGTGACCCAAACAGCTCTCTGTTGCTGTCCGTCTCCCTTTCCTCATGTCCTGGAGGATGCTCCAAGTTTTTCCCTTCTCCACAACCAGAGCCCTGCACTCCTCTTACAAAGCAGAAATCCGCGCTACCACCAGGATTTCTCCCATTCGCTGCTACAGCAGAGGTGAACACCCGAAGGTAACATTCATCTTTCTCACTTATTTTTCATCTGTGCTACTAAAAATACCCTCATCTCAGACCCGTTTTGAGCTCCATCAGCATTTAATTTGCACTGAGACGAAGTGTAAGTGGTGGCTTAAGAGAACAACTGCTTTTTTTCCAAGAAAAATGCCCCGCCTAGTCAGAAATAGCGGCTTTTATTGCATGCCAGAAGTTCAGGTTTAGAGCCAGGACGTGTTACGCCACGGTCCTGCCCATGGTGTCGGCGGGTGAGTCACGGGCGATAGTAAGTCTGGTTTAAAGGTACACTTTATTTGCTTTTACTGCTGCGTTTTCTCTGTCAGACACTCCACGTACCCGAAACAAGATTATAAATTGAAACTCGTGGTTGGATACTTTGAAAGAGAAAACGACTCTCTGTTGCTTCAGGAAATTAATACTTAAAACGAAAAGCCTCTGAAAAACCAAAGCAATAAAGCTGGTGGGTTACCTGCACCTTACGGGGTTTGCAGGTGGCAAAACGTTCCCAGCTCTGGGTGGTGCTGGGGGTCAGCTTTCCTCCAGAATGTTTTACAGTTTCTGAGCGAGGAGAAAATAATATAAAGCAAGTCTCATTAATAGGGAACCTTCATACAGAGAAAGGATCCTGACGTCGGAGGTGGTCGCAGAAATCACTTTTTTGATTTTTCCCTGGTAGTCTGGTAACATCAGAAAGTCTAGTTTTACAAATTTGCGTGTTTGTGAAAAAGTCGAGAATAATACTGACCCGCAGATGCAAAACGGCAGCGTTTGAGGTGGAGCGAAGTATTTTTAAGAGCTTTTATTGAGACGTAAAGCAACCGAAAAGTAAGCCTCCCTGGCAGGAGCAGAGGTCGCCCTGCCAACAGCCCAGGAACCAGCAGTGGACGATATAGTATCGAGATGAGATAGATAAATAAAAACAAACGCAGCAAGCGCAGAGAAGTGTGAGGGAATGGAGTGTAAATTGTAGCTGTACCAGGATTCACACTGACCGGGCTACGTGAGAAGCCGGCTGTGGGGAAAGAGCCCTCTCCCCTATTTCAGTTACACGGCTGAGCAAGGCTGTTCCACTTGACCTTTGTGTCTAAATCATCCTCGGAACAACGGCGGGGGCTGTTGAATTCCTTTGGAAAAGGAGCAGATCCCTAAAGGGATCCTAGAGGGAACGAACAGAGTCCAATCTGTGGCAGCAGCCCCGTGAGAGGGTGACAGATCCCGTCGGGGAATGCCGGCGGAGGGAGGGAGAGAGGGAGGGAGTGGGCGAGAGCTGCGCGGCCAAGGCAGGCACAGAAAGCTGGCCCTGTACTTACAGAGGGCTGCGTAAATTCTGAGACATTTGAAGGTGAAATCGGCTCAGTCGCCAGTGCGATAAATCCTTGCACGTTTTAAGTACACGAAAAGACTTTCTTTCCAGTTTTCGGTGTGAGAAGAGGAATGAAATCAATCCTTTATTCCATGACAGAATAAGGAATTAGCTTTGTAGGAAATGCCATCGCACTGTTCACACGAAGAAAGGGTTAAATCAGGAGAAAATCACCACTTTTTAGCTCTTAAGAGAGAGAAAAGGGGCTCTTCTACAAATGTACCTGGAAATTCACTGGGCAGCCAGAAGCAGCCGTACATTGTTACCGACTGACTAAAAGCGTTGAAATTCCCTCGAAAAAACGCGACGGGAGGAAAGCGCCTGCATTTATTTGTGCGGACTGTTATACCGTGCGTGGCGGGGCGGGGGAGGGGGGGAAAAGAGAAAGGAGAAGGGAAGAAAGCGAGAAAGAAAGAAAGAAAGAAAGAGAG